CGCTATTAACCTACTTGAATTTTCATTGATATTAAGCCTAACAAAAATTTTTTAAAAATAATAATCGTCGCTATTGTATCGTTAAAAATTAGAAAATTAAGCCTCGTTTAAATAATGGCCCCCTGTCATGGTCGAGCCATGTTGCCAGCTAAGACACGTAAAAATGCTATTAAAGTAGCCAAGACATAGCCAAATATCTTAGCGGCACATCACTAGCGGGCATTTGAATTTGCCGACTAGAACGATCGTTTAACCGATGTGACAATTAATCGGGGATTGGATAATTGATGCTCTACTGTATTCAATTTTAGTACACTAAATCTCTACTTATTCAATTAATTGTGATATGGTTTTAATGCATTTATACGAATGGCACAGATCATGTGTAAAGTGGCTATTAGTATAGAGAACTAGAAATTCGGTTGCTCGGTGTTGCTTTTTTATAGATAAAGTTTGGTTCTGTGTAAAGAATTTTTTCTATGGTAAAGACGTTCACTCCGTAATAACTGGCGAAAAAATATAACAGGCTGCATTCAGATCATGGTATGAAATAAGTGACAAATCTGAATGCATTATGCTAAACCCTTTGTAAGCTCTAACACCTAATGCATGAAAAATGATTTCACTTCATTCCTCTTCATTCAGTGTTATTGTTTTCGTGTCAAAGAAAGGACAAAGATCAAGATAATTTTTATATCCAGACATATGAAACATCATGTATAATTTGAAATACAACAAAAAATGGTGTATAAAATAGCAGACTAAAATGTATATACCAAAACATTGTAATGTTTTCAATAATTAATGAAAAATAAGTTATAAGTTAATGTTTTCAGAAAGAAAACTTACACTTAATGAAATTTTTATAGAATTAATTTTTTACGGCATATTTAATAATGTAATTAATAATGGAGTCTTTTGACTAAACAAATAAATTATTTTCTCATTTTTTTTTGTCAGACCAGATTTACTTTTCGCACGAAAAAAATGCAAATTTCTCTTTCAAAGAAATTTCGATTTTCTTTCTATAAATAGGGAAACAATTTTACGGATGAATTTTTGTATGTTTCCTAATGTTTTTAAAGGTTCGTTTTCTGCTGTCCGTAAAACACAGATTTCATTACAGATAGGTTTTAAATATCTAATTAATAATACGCTATAAATAATTTTTTCTGCAAAAATAATTTAAAAAATTCCTATATGTGATAGATAATGATGTACATGTACTAGCCCATATACTTTTGGAAAAGTTAAGCGGTGAACAACAATACGATAAATTTATGAACTGCATAAACTGATATTGATACAAATTTTTATTTAACAGAACATCTTTTTATAAATGCAAACAAGACAGTACGCGTCCGTTAAGAGGTTAATTAACTTGAAAAAAAGCTATTTTAAAAAAAATTCCGGGACGCATTTACTTTAACAAAAAATTATATTTCTTTAGACTATACGTACATGATGAGTCAATTTCTTTCAGTCTCTTGATACGCTTTTGAGGTGATAACGATTCCATGGAGGAGTCGATCTTTTATTGTAGGCATTGTGCAGTGAATGAATATCTGCTATACAATAAAAAAAGTTAAGACTATGCCATTGAATTGTTATCACCTCAAAAGCGTGTCAAGAGACTAAAAGAAATTCACTTATCATGTATGTATAGTCTAAAGAAATATAATTTTTCTGTTGAAGAACTACAGCAACTATAAAAGTCTACGTATTTATTAACTGGCATGAACCGAGCAAAACTGTCTGAGACAGAGTTGCGCGGCTCTTCCTGGTACTCTCTCTCTGTTATATATACTGTAATTAGATATACGTGCACCAATTTTCGGCTTTCGGATAACAATATTCAGGCATTAGGAAAAGTCGGAAGAAAACTGATTTACACTGATTATTTATTGTAAAAACTGTAAGCGTTTCAGTTTATTCAGCTGTACTTGGTACAAGTACAAACATTATGATGGATAATTAAATTAATTTATTAATGTGAAATAATAAACACATTAAATTTTTGTTTTTACAAAAGTAGTTTTCTTCATTTATAAGTTTTTTAACTTTATATATAATCTATTCATAAAATATTTCACTTTTACCATAGACAGTTACTACAGCTGCCATGAAACGCCTAAAATTCAAAAAAGAAAAAAAATTGATGTATTTTACTATATGTATGAGTGTTTGTGTGTGGGGAAACAATTTTCTTCACCCAGTGTAAAACTCAATGATAATCTCTTTTTTTTACAAAAAGTTGTAACTGTTTTCCGGATAGTTTTTTATTAGAGGCATTTGTTGGTAAATTGTGTTATTTAGACTTCCATGTGACAGAAACATATAGAGGTATCTTTCTGTCGGTTTCTCAGTGGTATTAGATTTAATGAAGATTTTCCTCTTAATTAAACTCTTCTTTAAGCTCAAGATTATTATTTTTGAATCATTTTTCTTGTCTTTGAATACTAATTAATTATATAAAGTTTACTTTTATGTGATATATCACATCAGATGGCATCATCACAATTTTCAAATTTTTGCTAAAGAAGTTACGAAATTTCTTGTTTTATATTTTATACATAGGTTATTAAATTAACGAAAATACATACATATAAAAAGATATCAAAACTTAAGCGTTGATTAATATCATTTATTATAGAACAAACCATGAAAAATACACATCAAAGTAAAAGTGTTAATAAAATAAGAATTACTGGAGTACCTGTAAGTTTGGTATTAATTTACTTTAAATTATTTATAAAAAATATATCTTATTTCTATTTTTAAAATATTTTAAGTTTTCTCCTTATTTAAAAGTGAAGAAAATTAATAACACTGTAGTCTTTGATGGTATCGATTTTAAATTTTTATGTTCAGTCATTCAAAATTTAAAAAATGTTCAGTAAGTAAATTCATTTTATTTATACATAAAAATATATGAAAATATAAAATTTTTATAAGATATTTTACATAGATATGAAATTATTGAACCTGTTGAAAAAGTATTTGGAATTGAATTAGACAACGGTACGTGGAATGGTTTAATTGGAAAAATACAAAGAAAGGTAAGAATAGTAATAACAGTTCAATTTAATCTGTGAAATTAATTATTATTATCTATAATAGTTTATTTATATATATAAGGAAGCTGATCTTTGTGCAATTTCAATATATGCGACATACGACAGATTTCAAGTAGTGAAATTCACAGCTCCTATTGATGGTAGTAGCGTTTTATTTGTTCTTTCTAAACCTAAACAAATGCCAAAACTAATGACAATAATAATGCCGTTTTCATTTGAAGTAAGTAAGAATTTGCTATATTATTTACTTTTACTAAAATTACGTTTTTTAGAGAAGGAATGTTTGCTTGAATTAGACGAAATTTTATATTATTGATGATTTTCATGTTGGTGAATTATATCGAAAATATCTGGACCGGTCATTCTGCACCAACCTCCGTTATGAAGTGTGGATGAACTGACGAAGATTTCGATAAAAATTCTTCATATTGATCACGTAGCAAAATATGTACAGTACATCAAAATATTCAACAAAAAGAGAATTAGCGGTATACGGACGTATTCTAGTTTCCATCATTCCTTGTTGGGGTTGTTTCGGCGTTTTATCTACGTAAAAATGACGCTGGTAAATGCAGATTAAAAAACTGCCCTGTGGTGACGATACTTTTTAAACTTTTTTCAAATTTTTGTCTGCTGACAATAATTATAATTAACTATCTGAATCAAAAAACATAACACCTTAATTTGCTGAGAAAATTTAGTGAATAAGCAAACGTTTTCAGCCAAATATGTTGGCCATCATCAGGCTGAGATATTCGAATATAAATAAAATAGAACATAAATTTAAATACAAATAAAAATACCGAATGACATATACACGTATTATGCTATGCATATATTTATATATATGTATTTTGTTATTTATAAGAATTTTTATTTTATTTTTCTTTGTGCATATATATGCATAAAGAAAAATAAAATAAAATAAAAATTATTCTTATAAATAACAAAATATGTATATAAATATATGCATAGGATAATCAAACATTAAAACGTTATATAATAATACACTAGATCAGAGGTGAGCAACCTTTTTAATCAACGGGCCAATTTAAATTTTAAAATTTTTTGGTGGGCCACACATAAAGTAACACTTATTAATAATTTACAAAACTTTATTTATAATAAACATTAGAATAAAAAAATATAAAATTTAAAAAAAGTAAAGATTTCATATACAAATTTTAATGCAAAATAAAAACAAACAAGAAAAGAACAGAAAAACGAATTTACTTGAAATTTTTAATGAGAAATTTGGCACTGTTTTTTCGATACAAGCTGATCAATATCAGCCGGAATTGATGAGGTAGCTACACGTACGCAGCTTTCTAATCGTGCATCACTCAGTCTTGATCGGTGGTCATTTTTGATTAATTTCATGGTTGAAAATAATTGTTCGCAAACATACGTACTTCCGAACAGAGACATCATTTGCTTTGCATTTTTCGTCAAAAGCGGAAATTTCTCAGGGCTCACATAAGATTTATAAAAATTTTCGATGTTTACTGAGAAAAATACATTTTTTAAATCGGTATTATTCTGCATGTCAATCACTTCCATTTGAAAGTCTTCGGGAACTGTATCCACATCGATATTAAATGGCGAGGAAAACATTTTCATGGAAACCGCTGTCTTCTCAGCTTTGAACATTTGGAATCGTAATTGAAATTCGTTGATTAAAATGTCTATATATTGTGCGTATTTTTGAGAAGTAGTAACGTTTTCTTTTTCTAAATGTGGAAAGTGAGACACATTATTCTGCAAAAGATGCTGTTTCCACAATTTTAATTTGCGCTCAAAGCCCTGAATTTTATCATACAAATTGTGAATAAACTGTCCTTTGCCTTGAAGTTCCACATTAAGATCATTGAGATGCTGAGTCATGTCGATAAGAAACCCAAAATCGCACATCCATTCTTTATTACCAAAATGAGGAAAGGCATATCCCTTCATATCCAAGAACAATTGTATTTCGCTTTTTAAGTTGTATACTCTTTTTAGCATTGCACCTCTACTAAGCCAACGTACTTCGGTATTAAAAACCACGTCGCCATATTCAGTTTCTAAATCTTTCAGGAATTCTTTAAATTCACGGTGATTTAACGCGCGCGACTTTATAAAATTGATTAGTTTAATTATTGGTACTGTGACATTTGGCAAACTCAATCTTTTCGCACACAAATTTTCCTGGTGAATTATGCAGTGGTTAACGAATATTTCCCTTCCTGTGACCTTCTTAATGTCTTGAAATAGCCTTCCCGATACTCCTACCTCCATGCTTGACATTGCTCGTGCTCCATCTGTCGATATACCAATAATCTTTTCTAATGAAATTGAAAAATTTTCCAACACAGACTTTAGTTCATCGTACAGGTCTTTGCCGGTTGTAGTCCCTTGCATTGGAATCAGTGAACACAATTCTTCGGTAATATTAAATTTGGTGTCAATACCACGTAAAAATATAGCCAGTTGTGCTGTATCGCTAATATCGCAACTCTCATCAAGTGCCAAAGAACAGTATTCGAATTTTGCAATGCGTTCACGAAGCGTTGTTGCTATATTCTCGGACAAGTCTTCAATTCTCCTTGCAATGGTGAATCTTGATAAACTAATGTTTGAAATAATGTTTATTTTTTCAGGAAATGCTATTTCTGCAACAGCAGTCAGACATTCTTTTATCATCTCTCAATCCGCAAAGGGTTTCATTTTTTTTCAGTATTTGACTGACAACAAAACTAGCCTTTACTGCCGTATTTGATAAAATGGCTTGATTTTTTAAAATAGGCTGTTGTTTTCCCAAGTTTTTCTCCATTTGATTAAACTTATCTATCCGGAGTTGTCCTGTTAAGTTTTTATATTGTTGTTGATGTTTTGTATCGTAATGCCTTTATATGTTATATTCTTTTAATGTCGACACAGTCTCTGAGCATATTAAGCATACAGCTTTATCTTCGACGAAAGTGAAAAAAAAATCAAATTTCCACTTTTCTTGGAAATGCCTGTGATCATCCGCAACCTTCCGTTTTTTTGTTTGCTATTCCGACATGCTATTATGGATTAAAAATTTGAAAGTTAAAAAAATTTGTAGGAAAACTTAATTTTGAATAAAAAAAAACTCCAATATTACCTTTTTGACAATAATATTGCACTCACGCCTTTCAAGAAACACAAGAATTGCTAAAATTGCTAGTTAACAGCTTACCAGTCTGACTGTGTGACAGAAGCAAACACAAACAAGCACAGACGCGGCGCGTTCATATTGCATGTTTCAACAACTCGCCGACAAGTGAGTAACCCGTCACAAAAAATTGTTTCGGTTTAGTATGTACTACCATTTTATTATAAATAATTTTATAACAATATATTGATGGGAGAAAATCGATAAAATAAATTCAATTTTAAAAATGCTTGGCGGGCCGCATAAACATGTTTAACGGGCTGCAAGCGGCCCGCGGGCCGCGTGTTGCTCATCCCTGCACTAGATGAAATTCAATAAAATGCAAGAACATGCAAAACTACTAAAATCAAGACATTAAATTAAGAGCTTTCTAATCTTTTCATTAAGTATTTCGAGGCCGAATGCAACCCTTCCAAATCTCTAGAATTAATGCATGCATTAAGTAACCTGGTCTTATATATTTCAATTTTTCAGCGCAAATCGACAATATCGGTGAATGTACTGGTTTAATAATACAGTAGAGCGTCGTTTATCCGAAAGCATTCCAGTAGGCAAATTTAAATTTTTGCTAGTGCTGTAGCGCTGCAATCTCTGGCTATGTCTTGGGCTACTCCAATATTTTTTGTTGGTGTGTGTGTTTTAGCTGGCAGCACTGGCACTTTTGTGTGGTGTTTTTCTGAGGATGGTGTGTCGTGCTGAATCGAACGTTTCTGATACTAGATCAACTTCTAAAGTATATATTTTTTTGGTTTTTATATTTTTCAATATATTTACTTTGTTTGTACAAAATAAAAAAATAATTTTTAACGATACAATAGCCACGATTATTATTTTAAAAATTTTACATTAGGCTTAACATCGGCGAAAATTCAACGCGAAGCGACACGCAACAGAAAAAAATTTGAACACGGGATAGGTTAATATATTTTTCGCTTATGATCGANTCAAAGTTTTCCGAACCTTGTTAAACATATGTAACATTTCTCAATGGTTTGATTCTTTTAAAAATATTAAAATATACGTATTATACTCTGTAACACTACTAAACTAGAGCCTTCCGATGCACTATTTGAGCGAAAAAAAAAATTGTTAAGGAAAAATTTTCTGTTAGCGAACCCTTTGTTAAATATTTCGAATGTCATCACTGTATACAGTACATATAATACAGATTGATCATTGACTGTTGGGTTGTTTTAAATCAGAAACATTTTAATCGCAAATAGAATTATATGTTAATTTCATGCTTCTTTGTTGAAATGAAGGAAAAACATTCTTTTATGAACTTCAAGAAAAATGAAAGTCTATCGAAAAGGACAATTTACCTATTTCATGAGGTGTTCAAAATGGATATGCATGCTATCTGACAGTATGCAAGGCAACTCATAATAACTTCATTAATCCTCCTAAGCTGATCAGCTGTTATCTGTGTGAAAGAATCTGTTATGCATTGTCATAAATCTGACATTTTAAACTGCTATATGGTAAAACCTGTCCTTTATGTAGCCCCAATAAAAAAAAACTAATTGTATCAAATCAGGAGAGCAGGGAGACCATGGATATGGACCTCCTTCACCAATCCACAATACTGGAAAAATGGCATGTAACCACTAGAACTGGAAGATCCCAATAGGTGAGGGACTCATTGTGTTCATAGAAAATGACATTATCAAGAGTTACATATGTGAGCAGTGGTCCAACTTACTCTACTAAGGATTCCAAGAATTTTTGGGAGTTAAGGTTGCTATCAATAAAAATATTGCCCAATAACTCATTAGTAAAGTAATCTAGCCCAAATGTTAGTGCTCTACTGATGTTGAATGTACTTCACTTGCAAGCAATGTGGATTTTCTTGTTTCCAGTAACAAATGTTACTGTGTTTCCCCAAAAATAAGACAGTGTCTTATATTAATTTTTGCTCTGAAAAATGCACTAGGTCTTATTTTCAGGAAATGTCTTATTTTTTCCAGGAAGAAGAATTCACATTTATTATTGAACAAAAAAATGCCCAAGTTGAACTTAGACGAGAGTGACGTATAGCCGGTGTGTCGAACTGTTGCCTGGACTCGATGACCAATTAGTGCTTACTGAACCGTAGCACTATGCAAATGTCATGTGGCGTGATTCCCAGCCGACCAATTAGCCATCACCTATATTTGTAGTAGAGTTTACCTCACTACAAATGTAAAAAGAATGTTTCATACATGAAGAAAATTCACCTGAGAATGGTAGGGTCTGTGTTGCCAAAATCCATAAACATTTCTGCAAAGTTTATCTTTGCATTGTAGTCTTCAGGAAAAAGCTATTGATGATGTTGGAATTTGTATGTGCGTATGATACTTAAGAGGTTGACCCTCTTGAGTATCATATGCCTGCAGAGCCACACAGCAAATGAAAGTAATTAGGTTTACTGTGAATGTGGCTGTGATGTCCATAACTGTGTTGTCCATCTTACAACTCCTGGTCCTCCCAGGTCTCGGAGCATCATCCAAGTCATTCATTCATCAAAATTTAGCTACCATTCTCAAGACTTAGTATATTTGGGATAGGGCTGATTGGGATGCAATGCATGGAGTTGTGCCATAACATCCCTTGTGCTGCATCCCTGAAGGTAAAGTTGTAACATCTTGCTTTTATTTGTCTTTATATATCTCATTCAGTCACGCTGTTTGCACTCTGCTAAACCTACTTTAAATTCCTGTCCAAAGTAACAAAAGACTACTGCCACAATCACAGTAATTTTCTTTGCTAATTTCTGCTTTTGACATCACATATCACTGTGTTGCTAATTGAAGGCATGGAAAAATCTTGAGTCAAAGCCAGACTTGTACTTTCTTTCATTTCTTGCAGTTTGTCAGTTAATGAAGCAAATACTGCATCATCATCATCAGCACTGACAAAATTGGCAAAGTTACACTCCATATTTCCTATGCTGATTCATGTATTATTGATTTCATTGTTTTTGTCATTAATTGCATTTGGATGATCATCGTTATCATTCCTTGCCTTACAAAACAAATTCTAATTGTTGTCACAGGAACAACCTTCAAAGCAGCCAGAAAATTTCTCATGGCATCTAAAACATTCCATGATTTGATATTGTTGAGATGCACATTGCTTGAAATTTCACAAATCAAATAATGCAGCAATTGAACTATTTATGTCATGGATGATTCCTTGATCTAGTGGTTAATTAAAGATAGCTTGTGTTTGGAGCAGAAACAGAGCACTAATACATTAGAAATCTAATCCTTCTATGGAATGTGATGAAATCCCATCAAGAAGCAGAACAATATGTCTGTTCTGCAAGGGCCATTTGCCATTCAGTCATCATCAGTTAGTTTCAGAAGATGGCTGCTGTTATCTGAGCATTTGTACTGGCAATAAATAAGAGCTTTACCAGAAAATTGGAACTGTATCTGTAGAGTAGAGAATCACATCTAAATGCAAAATTTCCAGCAAAAAAATGCTTAACTTCAATGCTCGAATGTTTTCGGCCACTATTTTATCAGCCCTCTTCAGGAAATGTAAAACGGAAAACCGTTCTATAAATGGAATGTAGCTGCCTTCTAATTTTAAAAGTTTCAAATAAGTTCAAATAAAGGCTGTGACGTTTCATATATGACATATATCTTATGAGTCTAAATAGTATTTCCATGCATTTGGTACATGAATGGCATTTGTGTTGATGCAGGCTCCACTCCTGCCTGCTCTGTAGATCTCTATCTTTTCTAATGTTCTAATAACATGCCAGTCAAAGACCTTAATGTATTAGCATAGCTTGGTCCCAATGGGGAAATCCCCAGATCGCTGGCATAACGTGCCAGAGCTGTATTAATGTTTCCTTTTTGTACTTTAAATGTACTCGTAACATACAAAAGGAAACCCAATGTTTTCTGCCTTCTGTCTAACGCAAAGGATGGCACTGAGGACACAAGAGTTCCTGGAATTTACTGCATCCCACTACAGGACAATAGATTTGACAGAATACTGTCATATATAGGATCCACATGCAGATTGCTGCAAGCCAGGCTAAAAAATCACAAATGTGACGTATAAAAAGGAAATATTAATACAGCTCTGGCACGTTACGCCAGTGATTCAGGATTTCCCCCTGTTGGGATCAAGCTACGCTAATACACAAGGTCTTCAACGGGCATAATATTAGAAATTAGAAGCGGTAGAAATCTGAAGGGTGGGCAGATGTGGAGCCTGCATCAACACAGATGTCATTCATGTATCAAATGCATGGAAATACTAGACTCATAAAATATATGTCATATATGAAATGTCACAGCCTTTATTTGAACTTATTTGAAACTTTTAAAATTAGAAGGCAGCTACATTCTGTTTATAGAACAGTTTTTCTGTTTTACATTTCCTAAAGAGGGCCGATAAAATAGTGGTTGAAAACATTTGAACATTGAAGTTAAGCGTTTCTTTGCTGGAAATTTTGCATTTAGGTATGATTCTCTACTCAATTTGTATTGGCCTTATATTGGCAAAGTGGTTGCCATATTCCTTGAATGGTCACACTTTTTATCCATATTGCATTGGCAGATTTTCCAATTATTGCCAAGTCAAGATGGAAATAATTAGCAAATTTCAATTATTGCAGATTTTCCAATGGAGTAGCTTTTCACTACCATCTTACATAGCAGTAATTCTCAGCTTGCTATGTTGCTTCCATAGACCCATTTGTTGACATTAAAATTGGCATGTTCTGCTTACTACTCAAAAGTTGGCTTTATAGCTTTGATTCATTTGTTTGCAGAAGCATAATCGATGATTCAGACTCAGTGGCAGCTGCTAAGGACATAACGTTAAAATGCCACTGGAACTTTTGAAGTCATACAGCCCAATTTGAAAAGCAATTTTGTCTGCCTTATCTTTCACTAATGACTCATACACTGGAATAGAATTCATCTGCACTTGACAAAATCATTTAGTTTCCAGGTCATGATGTTTGGCATCCTGGATATATTTTATGTTGTTGATTTTGCATATCAACTGGGCAGTTTGTGTTATTTTTTCTATCTACATGGATGAAGAATGAGGACAATATTTTAAAGTTCCTCTTTGTTAATTATTGTACATTTTTATTGTTAATTATTGTACATTTATATCTGGCAACACTGGTACAGTTGTTAGTCGTCAGAGTTTCGTCAAATTGAAATGTTGTAAATAAGTTCTGTTAGTCATAAAAGTTAAGTATTAAAAGAATAAAAGAAAACGAAAGGTAATGCTTTATTTTTTGTCTTAACACTCTTAATACTGTGATACGCTTCTTGTCTAGTCTTGGTATAAATTTGTGAGCACTATGTTGGCCTTTTTTTATTACTAGATTTATTACACCATCACTCAATACAAGCCTTAGAAAATCACTTTATTTAAGTTCCTCTTGAAATGTTATCTCTTCATTCTTTTTCCTTTTTCAACTTCAACCTTTGTTCTGTTTCATGTCAGTGGAGACATCCTTTTGTTTTTGTTTTTATCCCATTGTACAGCAAAATGAAAGTTTTTCTGCTGACTAGAAGTAAACAACTTTCTAGCACTAGAGTAATGAGGGAATGGATGGGAGAGGGAGGACATTCAGTGATTGATTGAATACATAAGGCTAATCATGCTGGACTTTCGAGTGAAATTGTCAAGGTACTTCATGTTCTAATCAGAACACCAGAAACATAATGTATTGGTCAATATGAGATTGCAATGGCATTGAGATATGGTCAGCATGGAGCTGACCATATCTCAATGCCATTACAATCTTGGAATATAAGAGAAAATAAAGATCACAGACCTATCAAAGGGTGGAGAGTACATCAGAAAATAGATTTGAGTTAAAAGTACTAACAGTTTCAACTTAACAAGACTGTATTATATAGAGAACTCTATATACTGTACAGTACTTGATGACTTTTGAGTTAACACAGTTTGATTTAGCAAGATTCTACTGTCTAACTCTGAAACTTGAGGCCAAATGACAAAAATTTATAAGAATTTAAAGGTAAAAAAATCAGAATAGTATCTGTTTAAACGGTATTTAAAACTCCAATGTTTTTTTTCCAAAAGACAACTGAAAGTGCTTATACATATTACAAAGTATCAGGAACATCCAGGAGGGAGACAAGAAGAGCAAATTGTCCTGGGCCCTGAGGAAGTAGTGACCATATACAATGATTTTTTGTTTGCTTCCTTTACTTTAATATAATTTGCTATAGAGCACTCAATATATTGATATATTTTGGCGTGGACCTCCCATTACCCTCTGCACGAGGTTATTTTTGATATAGTTGATACAAAAGTATTAGTAAACAACAGCAACATAGACTTGTTAGGATTCTAAGTTAGGCATTCTATACCTGTATCAAAGCAAAAATGCAAGAAATCAAAATGATATTTTGTGAATTAAACTAATTTTTAAAATTTTTATTTTATATAATTTAATAGTATTCAAATAATGTAGAAATGACTTTTCATAACACTATCTAATTTACAACATAATGAATAATCTTGGTACAAATGAAGTTTTGTGTGCTTGAGTATGGTAAAATAATAAAGTGTATCAAATAGCAATAATTGTGTGAGGGGCTAGCCGGGGATACCGAGTAGTTATTTCTCATGCACCACTTAATTGGCAAACTATTCTTATGAATAGCCCTCTGTTTGTCTAGAATAGGGGTCCCCAAACTTTTTATCCCGTCGACCCCTTTATGGAATATTTGCCTTCTTATCGACCCCCAGATTAAGTATTTAACAAAAACATTAAATCATTTTTGTATTTCTAATGTTAAGCGATAAGGAGACCCGCGTAACAACCCAACAAAAGAATTTATAGTTCTCATATCTTATAAAATCCACCCAATAACATTAACAGAAAAAGGAGATATTTTCCACTGATTTATAATCTTAAAAAATAATAGCAAAATTATGGATAGATGGAAATTTGCCTATAGTTCTAAACCGTACATGTCATAATACGTAAAATACACAATTATCTTTGAAAACATAACAAGTTATATTGGATGAAAAAACCTCTGTCATTTTATGACTACTACTGAATGCCTTAAAAATATGTTGACATGCCTTTTTATTAAAATAGTTGATATTAGTGGGATGGATGTGTCCGAAGAGAAGCAGCAAGATTATTGACATACGATTGAAAATTGGTAAGTTTTAGTCGCAAAATCACCACGGTTTTTCCAAGTTCAATCTGTTCCTCTGTTTTGTCAAAATTGCGTTCGCGTGGATAAAACCAGCTTCAACCACGTATAAAGTTGGGAATGCAAGAAAGGTTCGGTTTCTGCTCTGAGCTTGGGATATTTAGGACAATATTGTTATTGCTCCAAAATTTACTGAGGTTTTTATTTTTAAACAATGCTTTAGCTTTGATATCTACATATATTTCACTCAGTTCATCTTCTAAGTCAGGTTCACTACCTTCATTATCTATTTTTACGTCAAATGCATTAGCAAACCATTCGGGAACACGCTTTTCGAGTCTTCGAAACGTGCTTTAAAGTCTTCTCTTAATTTATCACGATGTTTAATATATATCTCCAAATTACGGTCGGAAATCTCATTTTCTTTTAGTACTCGCAGGTTTGAAAAATATTTAAAATCGGATCGTGCCAGTGAAGATTTAAATAGCTCCATTTTTATTCGAAAGGCCATAATGATTGTTCCAGCTCGAATAATTGTAACATTTTTTTCCTTGCAAACGCTTCTGTACTATATTAATGATTTTCGATATATTACGATATTTTCTCTGTAAAGGACAAAATATCTACATTTAGATATAAAATACTTAGAATGACAACCCTACTAGAGTGTAACAGTGCAACGTAAGTCTGTGTATAATGAACTACAAGCATTCATAATATGTTTGTAACACTAGTACAGTTGCCAGATGCGTGAAAACAGAGTAACACATGCTTAAAGCGGCGTTGGCTAAGGCAAAACTCAAGTTATAACTAGGGTAATCAGTAATGTTGTTGATCATATCAGTATTTCGACTTTTTATTAGAATATTCTATTTTTTTCCTAAACAGTCTAATTGATCATCTTTGGTATTAATCGACCCCCTTTCGACCCTCGTATATTAATCGACCCCTGGAGAACTCTTATCGACACCAAGGGGTCGATATCGACCACTTTGGGGACCCCTAGTCTAGAAGGATGGTTTCCTAATTTAAGGAAATCGAGGGTGGAGGACTTTTATAAATAGAGGAGAAGGTGGTATTATGGAACCCCAATTACATTTTAGTGAATTGTAAACAAGGTATCATAACTATACCCACATTTTTTGTGCGAAAAGTACTGGTAACTAGTAAACTAAATGTTCCTAATTGGATTTTTCGCTAGCGTAACTATAAGTATTATTTTTTAAGGCATTTGTACAAAAAGTCCGAAAGTAGGCTTAGAGAAAATCGGGTGGTAATATGGAACCTTACTGTATATTTTCAAAAAAAATGCTGTAATGTAGCCAAAAACAAATAGGAAAGTACAAAAAATGTTAAATAATTACAAAATTATTTACTCCAATGTATTTTATCGCAAAAATGCTTTTATAATAGAAAAATATGACCTCCATCAACAATATATATTCCAGC